TTATAATTTCATTTGGAAGATTATTAACATTATCGCGTTTACCATACGGTAAATACTGGAATCAGCATCGAACAGCAAATTAATGAACCTTGTAATTATAGAAGCCACTTGGTGTTCGCAATGCGGCCAATTTACTTCGGCAGTGGCCATCCTTTTGTTTCGATGTTCATTTGCTAATTACCCTCGATCTCGGTTTCAGCTACGTTTTAATTACAGTACAATGGTTGGTAAAACTCTTTAATCGATATTTCCTTCCTCTTTTTTCTCGTGATTAGCCGACGAGGTTAAAAAAGAAAAAAAGGAAAGAAACTTTCTAATCTTATCACCTTGAAACAAAATATATAAATAATAAACATTTTACAATAAATTTCAGCATCGTTCGAAGTCTTTAAAATTACATATACATATATATATATAGAGTACTGGAATATAGCTATAGATCGAACGAGCGAGCTCACAAACTCTACACTCTCGATTCTCCAATAAAACAGTACATAACCTTTCCTTCCTCATTCGTACGAAATTTTTCTTAAAAAAAACAAATGATAGTCATTTGAGATCCATTATAAACTTGTTGTTGTTACAAATTGATAATCATCTCTTCGCATGTTGTTATATTAACAAATAAGAGACAATAAGATAATTCGTTACACCGAATTTCGAAGCAACGTCTGAATTAAAAAGATTTCAGGTAAGAAACAGAAGAAGATTGATTATATCGAGTTGTCGTTTTTTTAAACAAGTTCAATCCGTTTAATTATTTTTTTTTAAATTCGTCTCTCTTCTTTTCGTACGTATACTTGAACCATCTCGCTTGCACGTATCGATTATTCGTTAATGGCGAATACACGTAGTCGTACAATACACTGGATTCAAGTACACGTAACTCGGGTACGATTGAAAAATAATGCTCCGTCGATTATCGTTCGATTGAAAAAAAAAAAAAAAAAAAAAATTACGGATATACACGGAATTATATATAAATTCCGTAACGAGGGATAAAACTCGCTCTTGCAGAGTAAAATTAGAGAACAAGGATTCTTGGCATTGGTTGAATAATGAACGAACGAATGAAATTCAACGCGAATTACACGCGCAATTACACAGGAAATTATTTACACAAGATAATTCCATAACTTTGTGCGTGTATGGATATCGATTTTCTTATTGAAAATCTTCTAGTTGAAAAACTAATAGCTGGAAAAAAAGGAAATATAATTTTTGTATTATATAATATTTGTGTTGTATCATCCTTATATAATCATTAAATATCATTTATTTAATACATGTATTGAATATTTTTTTTTTTAGTTGGATAAATGTGATCATGTCGTTGGATTTGTATTACATGCCCATAAGTTCACCTTGCAGGGCAGTCCTCCTGGCTGCGGAAGCCATCGGTATCTCGTTAAATTTGAAGGAAATCGATATATTTGCAAATGAACATTTGAAACCGGAATATGAACAAGTCAGTACGATGAAAATATATATATATTCGTTTTCTTTTTTTCTTATCCACGATGGATCTCAAATTTAAAGTGATATAATTATGCTTTGCTATAGTCTGATTACTATATTCTGTTACAGTTAAATCCGCAGAAAACTGTTCCATTTCTCGTAGACGGTGATTATAAACTGACGGAAAGGTTTGTATATTAATGAATCATACATCATGATAATTAATATTATCTAATTCTATTTCCATTTCTTACATCATCGTTTCATTTCGCAATTAGTCGAGCTATTATGTCGTACTTAGCCGATCAATATGGTAAAAATGTTCGCCTGTATCCACAAACACCAGTTGGCCGAGCTTTAGTCAATCATAGATTACATTTTGATATCGGTACTCTGTACAGAGGCATGAAGGATTATTACGTAAGTGTTCAAAAGAAATGTTTATATATATATATATATATTTATAATAATTGATTTTCCATTATTTTCGATTTAGAATATTTCTAGATGAAAAGATTGAACAAAGTTATTATCTAAAAAAATTTGTTTTTTCGTTGTTTTCTGTCTGAAATGAAACAAATTTATTTCAGTATCCAGTCGCGTTTGGAAAGACAAAGGATTATAATCCTGAATGTTATAAAGTACTCGAAGGCGCGTTTGACGTTCTGAATAAATTTCTGGATGGACAAGATTATGCCGCTGGACGCAATTTAACTATCGCTGATCTCGCTTTAGCTGCCACTGTATCGACAGCAGAGGTATTAGGAAGCTATGTTTAAAAATTAAGTATTATTTCGGAAATTAAATAATGACTATTGATCATAGATTTTCGGTTTCGAAGTGGAAAGATATACTAATGTTGGTAAATGGATGAACAGGATAAAATCACTCGCACCGGGTTATCGTAAAGCTAATGGCGAAGGATTAGAAATATTAAAAAAATTGATTGAAGATTTTAAAAAGGACTAACGTATATAAATATTTATATATTAATTTGTATAGAATAAACTGAACTTAATGATTAAAATTCAATAATAAATTGTTTTTTTTTTTTTTTGGATCGTGCATGTGATCACGTATCAAGAGCAAGCATAAAAAGAGAAAATGTGGGAGAAAAAAAGTGGGAGAAGGACAGAAATAGAGTAAAAATTCGGAATCAACGCCATCTCTAGAATGCCGCAAATGAAACTCAATATCAAAGACAGAAAATAATAACAGAAAAATAGATAGGATAAGAATTGATCTTCAACGCCATCTCTTGATTTGTCCAAGATATTTCAAAGAATAAGATAGGGAATTTAAAATCAGCGCTATCTTTTAAAATTTTTAAAAACATGTTTTTTAAAAAGATATCGTTACATTCAAGACGTCAATGACGCTAATAAGTCAATTCTTATCTCTGTTCTTTCTTATCCTCTTTTTTGTTCTTGTATATTGAGTTTTATTTGCGGCAGAATGACTTTCAAAAGATGACTTAATTCCCAAATTTTTATTCTATTTCTATCTTTCTCTTATTATTTTATTTCCTTCGTCTATATCCATTTTATAAAACTTACTCGCTTAAGAGATATCAACTTTGATATCCGATTAACTTTATTGTCATCTTTATCAATTATCGATTAAAAATTATAAGAAAATCTATTCAATCTAATTTTTATATATCTTATATATTTTATTTGTATATATTTATATTATATACATATTTTGTATATATATTATATTTATATATTTCCATTTTTATATATCGTAGATGTATAGACTTTAAAAATATCGCAATATATATTATATATATATATATTATTAGGCAAAATTCAATGCAATATCAAGTTTCTTGCAAATATCTAGAAAACTAAGACAAAGCGGCGGTAATATGTCTAAAGAAATAAAGAAAAAAGTTCAAAATATTGATTTCTAATATGTTCAAATTATTTATAATATATTAACAAAAATTAACAAAATAGATAAAGATTTTTCTATATTGAATAACTAAAAAAATTTATGAAAAAATGTATTAAAAAAATTATTTTTAAAATATTTTGAAATATAAATATTTTGAAATATTTTAAAATATTTATTTTATCAACTTTTATGATTAAATTGAATATAATTCTTATATTTATCACTTTAAATCGTAAAGATTATATCAAACATTCTGTTTTTTTTGCGTAATCATTATTTCAAAATATGGGACACAAAACATTATTAAATGTTAGATCTATTCTATATCTCATCTGCGAATAATTCTTGAATAGTTTAGCACAGAGATATTATTGATTTGAATTTAGCGTCATCGAAAATATTAAGATTTTCACGTAGAAAGTCGTGATAATAAAATAACGACTATACTTCCATTGCAATCAAACGCATTTTTTTTTTTTTGTCAATTTTGAGATAACAATTTCGATTTCTTGATAATTTTGAATAAACATGCATATAATCGTATGAGCAGTCACATAGTCTCATGATTGGAAATAAAATGAATATAGAAATACATATTTGTCTTTCCTCATCCTCTATCACTATAGAAAGCTTTCTATTTATTAAGACATATTTTATGTATATTTTTGTATTTCTATACGTCATAATATACAATGAAAATATAATTTCATTAAATATTCTTTTTTGGTCTTTCTCCAAATATGGCAGTACCAACTCTAACATTGGTACTTCCTAATTCCACCTATATAATATTAATTTCATTTATATTTTATTTATTATTTTTAAAAAAATATATATATATATTCTAATTGAAATTACCGCATGTTCATAATCATTTGACATTCCCATTGATAATTCAATTTGTTTTAAATCAATATTTAATTCTTTTGAAACATTTTCTCTGCATTCTTTTAAACATAAAAAATCAGGATTTGGTTCTTTACTGCAATCATATCCAAACATACCTATTGTCATAAGACCTATAAATTCTAAATTCTTACAATTAGCAATAATATGCTGAACAAGAGGACAAACATTTGTAATTTCACAACCATTCTTTTCTGAAAATATAAATATATAATTTTTATATATTTAATTTTATATAATTAATTATTCTATTAAAAATAATTATTTAAAATTATTTCATATTTAAAATTAGAATGATTCTGATAATTGTAACTTACTAATTTATTTACTTAAAAATGAAACAAAATTTATAATATAAACTTTTAATATAACTTTTCTTTCATAATACTTTTGACCATAATATTTGTGTAAATTTTTTATTTTTGATATTTTTTATTTTCAGATAAAATATAATCTGAACAAATCATTAAAATCATAATATATATTACCTTGCTCTTTACTAGTATTAACTTGTACCATCACTTTTAATTTTAAATTTTCATCTTTCCTATAATTAATCCAAGAAGTATTTACTGCTGATGCAAGTTTTTCACTATCTATTGTTTCAATTATATATAAATTGGGAACACTCAATAACTTATTTACTTTATTTCGTTGAAGATGACCAATAAAATGCCAATGTATATTTGTACATGTTTCCAAAATAATTGGATCGTTTCCTTTTTCTAATAATTCATTAATATAATTTTCTCCAAAATGTCTTTGACCAGCTTTATAAGCATCAACAATTAATTCAACTGGTTTTAATTTACTTACAGCTACCAAACGTGGTTCAAAATATTTATACTCCTGTTAGTAAAATATTAAAAATTATTATTATATTTTTATTTTATTTTATTTTATTATATTTTTAAATTAATTATAATATATAAATTTATAAAATATTTAATATTAATAATACATACTGGTAATCTTTTAGCAGAAGCAATAGTAATTTTATTTTTTACCACTTTTAAATTCGTTATTAATTCTGCCATTTTTATTATTTTTTAATTCCTTATCAACATTTTTATCACTATAGATTAATTGAAATGATTTATTGTATTATATATCACACAATTTGATTTGTTTATTTCCATTCACTTAATTTCGTAACGTAATATAGATATCAATAATATACGAATAAAATCCCTATATTGGGTTAATAAATATATGTGAAATAATTATTATAAATTGAATAATAAATTATAAATATGAAATAATTATCTGATTATAGTCAGATATCGGGACAAAATGATTGCCAATTGACATTTGATTGCCATTGATAATTGACAGAAAGAATAAAAGTAATGAACAATATCCCATTGGATGAAAGAATAAACATAACAATACGATATTATTGGTTATTATCTCTGGACTAATGGTACTATATGAAATGATGCATTCTGCGATTCTCCTGTTTCATTCTCTGCCATGTTATTGGTAGCCATTTTGTCCCAGAATCTAGTAATTCTGTTCTGGCAATTTTATTCTTGGCTTGATTTATTTTCAGTCTTAATGAATGTGAAAATATAGGTACATTGTGAAAACTGATTGTATCAAATAAGATTATTTTAAAAATTTTTAAAAACATGACATTTGTAAAAACTGTACAACCAGGTGAATCCAAAAAACTATTTTATTTTTTATTGCATATTAATTTTTTATATAAAATAATATATATGATATAATATATATAATATAACCTATAAAATATTTTATTTTACCTATATACCTATATATAACTTTATTAATAATTATTATAAGTTATATACATAACTTTATTAAATATTATTACAGGTTTAAAATTATTTCAAACATATCCAAAAATTTTAAATGTACCTTTACGTCGAACTAACTATGTTTCTGTTTACCTAAAGAAAGAGAAAGAAAAATTTCTTGATGTTGCAGTAAATAAATCATTCTTCTTAGAAATCATACGAGGTTTAGGAATTACAATGTCACATTTCTTTACTGAACCTGCAACAATAAACTATCCTTTTGAAAAAGGCCCTTTGAGTCCAAGATTTAGAGGTGAACATGCATTAAGAAGGTATTAAAAGTTATGTAAATTATAATATTATATATAATATTATTAAATTACAAATAAATACTAAATCTTTTTTGAAAAAATTAATGAATATTATTATTCTCTTCTAAAACTGAATGACTTGTCAAAATGTTTGTGGATTTGAATAAAATTTTTAAATGCTTAATATACTATAAATTATGATATTGATTATGTATACAATGAAAAGAATAATTAAAAATTAATTAGTTAATAAAAAGTTAGATTAAATTTTAATACATTAATATTATTTTATTTAGAATTATATTTATGTTTCATTCTGAAATTCTTGATGTTAAAATTATGATTTTCAAAGCAAAACATTTTATATATATTCAAAATAATATTCAAAACATAATCAATTTATTTTGGTAGATATCCATCAGGAGAAGAAAGATGTATTGCATGTAAATTATGTGAAGCTATTTGTCCAGCACAAGCAATTACTATTGAAGCGGAAGAGAGAGCTGATGGATCTCGTCGTACAACAAGATATGACATAGACATGACAAAATGTATATATTGTGGATTTTGTCAAGAAGCTTGTCCAGTGGATGCAATCGTAGAGGTAATAACAAATATTGCACAATTATAAAATGATTTTTTGGTAAACTTAAAAATAATATCGTCTAAATATTTCAATGATCTCATATTTGTATACGATCTGCAATGTTTATAAAGATTACAATTATAAAACTATTTCTATAATAATTATTGTAATAAAATAATGGTATTAGCTTCTTTATCGAAAATCATCATCTAGATTATTTATAGAAAAATAGTATTATTAAAATTAATATTATTACTATATTGTTTTTAACTTCGTATTTAAATTTAAGGAAAATTTTGTATAATTTAAAATATTAATTTTATGAATTATTTTAGGGTCCCAACTTCGAATTTTCCACAGAGACACATGAAGAGTTATTATATAATAAAGAAAAACTATTAAATAATGGAGATAAATGGGAATCAGAAATTGCTAGCAATATTCATGCTGATTATCTCTATCGATAAATTTAATAAATTATATAATGTAGTCAAATATTACATATATTATTAGTAAAAAATATTTATTGTATAATATCTATCAGCAATAATTAGATTTCGAAATAGATTTCAAAATTGATCTATTATTCATTTATATATTATTTTTGTAAAGAATCATTTAATATAAAATTAATTTTATTTTTAACCTCTTCGGTATAATCATCGATTTTAATCATTCGTCGTCGAATAAATACAATGAAGGTAATCGTCTGTTTTAATTGATATTTGAATGAAAACAAATGATCTATCGTCGAGTTGAACATAGTGGCAGATGAATGCCATACGAAAGGAAAAGGTTAAAAATGTTGTGATAGAAGTGAAAAATTTCTTTTATAATTATAAATAATTATCACATTTAATATTATATTTATTATAAAATGATCTTACCTTTTACATCTTGATATTTATTTAAAATAAATTTAAATTTAATGCATATTATACATTTGTAGTTCTATTTAAATTAATTTCTTATTGTTTATTTTAATTTGCATGTATATAAAGAAACTAAATATATGCATCTTACTAATTTATATTATAAAATTATAATGATTAACAATTTGATTTAAAATGAAATGATTTTTCATGTTTTCATATAAAATTGAGCATTCCTTATTAATTATTAAATTAATAAAAATTGTTTATATTATTTATATTAATACTAATTTAATTTTTATGCATTTACAAATATATCTTAATAAATTCTTATATATATATATATTATATATATATATATTTTTGTATTTATAATATTCTATTTCCAAAAAAATATCCTTGAATAATAGTCAATAGTAGTAGTCTTATTATATATTATATAATATAAATTACAAATTATTATTCACATATAGAATACAAACATATAAGTTTACACACATTATTTTTAAATATGTAATTTTTATAACATTCCATTTTTATTCTTAATATTTTATTATATTTAAAATTATTATTTATTTAAAAAGAATATTTGTACTTATTTTTTCCATCAAAATATTTTAAAATAACTCTTTTATCAAGAATCATACAATGATAAAATTATTTATATCATTGAAAACAAATTATAAAATATAATATAAATAATTAATATCAATCAAATATGATGTATTAAAATAAATTATTTTATGAATATTTAACCAGGAAATTTAATTTTAGTGAAATATTTTTAAAGTAATAAAAAGATTAAATTTTTAAAAGATTTTAACTTTCATTTATATCTTTATCATTTTCGAAAAATTTTTAAATAGCAATGAATATTACATACATTTTGTAAATATAAATGCATTATAATGAAATATAGAAATGCGTATAATTAAAAGATAAACGCCATTACACTTTTATGTAAAAAGCAAATAATTTCTATGAAATCACGAAAAATCACTTTAGTATTTATTAAAAAGCTATATATGCAAATAAAGATTTTAAATTTGTTTGTAAATAAATTATATAATTAACAATATGTATGTATATATGTATAATTTAAAAAAATATCTTAAGATTGATATTTTTCATTTTAACTTTATATATAAAGAAAACAACAACAAGAAAAAAGAAATTATTTTAATCAATATTTAAACATAATTTATACTATTTATCTATCAAATTCAATAGATAATATTAAAGAGCATTAAAATGTATTTACTCAATTATTATGAATATCTAAAATAATTAAATTTTTGAGATTTTATAAAATAACATATATCCTAAATAGATTTGTGCCGTTTTTTTAACGCATTACATAATCATTAATATTATTAACATTATAAATTCTACAAAAACTTCTGAAATTAAAAATTATAATTTTAATAGCGAAAATAAAATATGCAAACTACGAATATATGTATAAAAATTTTTTCTAAAGTATATATATATATGTATAATTCTAAATATATACATATATGTTACTGTAAAGATATTTTCAATATTTTTGAAATCCTAGAAAACTAAAATTTAAAAAAAAATTATATTTTTTTCATATTTCATTCTTCACAATTTATTTATATTGCAAAAGTGAAATTGTGCATTTAAAAATTCGACCACAATAATTATTATTAATGTTGTTATTATTATTATTATTATTATTATTATTATTATTATTATTATTATTATTATTATTA